TTCTTGTATTTTCACTGTTCACCGTTTTCTTGCCACTCAATATTCCTACCACACATGTTGTGAAAATACGTTGGTATTTGGGGTGCCTTTGTGACTACCACAGAAAAACCTATAAGTAAATTAATAATCCTGTACTCAAAGCAGGATTAGAGTAACACGCATGTTAGAATGAGGCACTGACCCACTTTTAACAATAAATAGGACTACCCAGTTAATTAGTCAATGAGCATTATCTGCTCTATGCACTGAATGAGGCTGGGGTCCAGTGAGGAAAGAGGAAGAGAAGGTGACATCCACAGCTATGTTAAGACTACCAAATACTTTTGAATTAGGGAAGACAGTCAGTAAGACTGTACAGGCAGGTGATTTTTGGCAATTCCCAATTTCATGTTCTTAGCCTCAGAACTTTATTACTTAATACAACTTTGTTTATTACTTCCTACATTCATAGAAATAAAACTTTCATTCCATCCACTTGAAAATCATACTGGTAACACCACGGGTCATCAACAAGGTAAGGAACTTAGATATTACCTTGTCAGCACCTATATATATCAACTCCAGATTTTGAAAAACTATTTTCCTTATTTGTTTCACAAATGCATAGCAAAGCAAGGAAGCTTAGAAATGAAACTAGGCCCATTCCTTGGCTCTTCAACTTAAATTTCCCTGTCCTTCTTTTCCTTATTTCTTTTGCCTAACTAGTCTCCTTCCTTTAAGATCTTCTACCAGTCAAAGCGTTTGCCTCCTACAATTTGCAAATCTACAACAAGTGATGTGGCCTTCCCAGCAGGCAATCACTGATAACACCATAGTGGGTTTCTCCATTCTTGGTGCCCTCACTCCTCATAATGGGTACAACTGGAGGGAGTTCTATGTAGTTTTAAACCTCTGACACATTCAAGAGAAGCAAGTGTTTCAAATAATTTAACTGCTCAGCAATATCAACCTCCAAGCACACACAAATTCTAAAGAGTTTTTTTCTTAGATTTAGGGCTTGGGCAAATTTTTTAACTGATTTTTACAAGAACAGCCTTCATATAGCAGCTTTTACCCACAAGCCAAACTACGTATCCTCTCCCCAAGTCTGAATCCCCTAGTCACTTTCTTTCACACAGGGAAAAAGTGTGTTTCACACCTAACTTTGTCCAAAATAAAAATGAACAAAGATTGCCTTATTGCTACTGAATCTCTCCAAGATATTTCTACCTATAAAAAAAAATTAATGTCAAGCGGGACATCAGCTTGCACAACTGAAGTATGACAAAAATCTGGAAGGCTTTTAATAGAAAGCCTTAAGCAATTGTATATTACAGGCTCCTCCTGAAAGGGTACACATGACAGTGTTGTGTTAATGTACAATACTGAGAAGCTACCAACTACAGAGATAATAGTGGCACAAGCTCACCACATCTGGCAAAACAGCAATTGCAGGATCCCAAAAGACTTGTCAGGCACTAAAAACCTACATACAGCTGTTCAGCATGGTAGCATCTTAATTTCTGAAAAAATATGGTTGTAATCATTTAGTAGACAAGACATTTAATGCAAATAAATGCCAGGTTTATGACACAAATCAATAATGCAGCCAAGCTTAATATATTCATGTAAAGAGGCATGACTTTTCTGAAGGAACATCTTCTGCTGGCCTGCCAAAGTGCTGCTTTACCTACAAAACGACTGGTTATTAAAATCACTGTACTGCAAACATCATCTAACTATTGGACCGCACATCACAAAGATGCACAAGCAAACAGTAACAGCAGAGCCACTCTGAATGATATATCGGCAATCTGAATTCTCACCATTTGAAAAGGGGCTGCATATGAGGGCTGAAAAAAAACTCGGGAAAAAAATTCAAACAATTTCTGTTCACACTAGTAAATAATGTAGATATCTATCACAGAATCGCTAGGGTTAGAAGGGACCTCTGGAGATCATCTAGTCCGATCCCCCTGCCAAGGCAGGGCCACCTGGAGCTGGTGACACGGAAACACGTCCAAGCGGGGTTTGAATGTCTCCAGAGAGGGAGACTCCACAACGTCCCTAGGCAGCCTGTTCCAGTGCTCTGCCACTCTCAGCGTAAACAGATTCTTCCTCATGTTGGGGTGAATCGTTATTTATAGAGTACTTTTTTTTACAATTTTAACGTTATATTTCAGCTGGAACATTTAAAACATCCAAGAGCCAAAACTCAACATATGTTGTTTGGAAGCGCCTATCCGAGGGTACCACTCCGGAAAGCGCTGCCTCTTTTCTCCCAGCTTGACTTCGAGCAGAGAGGTTCTGTGAATCTGCACCAAGCCTAGCTCTGGAGTGACCGACGCACAGCTGCCCGGGTGCCCCTCAAAGCCAGACAGGAGAAGCCCCTTCCCACACACACCTGCCCGCCCCTTCCCATCAGTGCCGCCCGGGTCCCCTCCAGGCGGCCGACACAGCCCCGCCTGGGAGCCGCCGCCGGCCCGGGGCCCCCCGCCTTCACCATGGCTGTTGTTATTTGTTTCCGGCAGCACCGTGGCGTTCCGGGGGATGAGGAACAACACGCCACCCGCCCTCCCACCGCCCCCATCTCAGCAGCACCCCCGCCCCACCCCACCCCACCCCCGGGCCGCCCCGCCGCACTCACTCGCCAGCCGCGGGCCATCCAGCCCCCCGCCGCCGCCGCCGCCGCCGCCTCCGCCGCCTCCCGCCCCCAGCTCGGCTTTCTTAGGCCCCACCACCGCCGCCGCCGGCCCCGAGCTGGCCCCGTGGGGCGGGTATCCCGGCCCAGCGGCGGCGGCGGCGGCGGGCGGGGGGATGCCGAGCGGGAGCCCGCCGAGGGGGGGGGCGGCGGGCCCCGGGCCGGCGGGGGCGGCGCCCGGCTCCTCATGCAGGAACTGGCACTCCTCGCCGTAGAAGCAGGTCTTGTCCTTGGCGTAGTAGCGGCAGAACTTCAGCTTCACGGCCCCTCCGCCGCCGCCTGCGGCCCCCGCCCCGCCGGCCGCCGGCCCCGCCACGCCGACCCCCGTCCCCGGCGGCGGCCCCACCACCGGCGACGGCGACGAGCAGGGCAGGCCGCTGCTGTTCATGGCAACCGCCCCGCCGCCGGGGTCGGCACCATGGGGAAGGGGGCGGGCAGGGGGAAGGGGCGCGGGGACCGCCGTCACCCCGAGTCCGGCTCCGGAAGGGGGAGGAGGAGGGGGCGACTCCGCGCCTCTTAAAGGGGCCGCGCGGCCCGGGGCGGCGGCGCCTCCTCCTCCTCAGCGGTCCCGGCGCTCGGGGTTGTTTATGCCATTTTCCTCTTCCTGAGCGGCCGCGCCTGCGCCGGAGCGGGGCATCCTGGGTAGCGCCGGCGGCCGGGGCCGGGGAGGCGGAGGGGGGGCTGGTGTGGGAGGGAGGGAGGAGGAGGGATGGAGAGCGGGAGGCAGGCGCGGAGCCACGGGCGGCCGGGCGCGGTGTCCGGCGGGGCGCAGGGGGCCGGGGCCGGCTGAGGGGCGTTAACCGCTCGGCGCGGCGCCCGCCGGGGTCACCGCCCGCACCGGCGGGGGAAGGCGGCAGGTGAGCCCCGGAACACGGCCGGACCCTTGCCCCGGGCCCTATCGGCGCTCCAGCTCTCTGCTACGCTGGGGGTCGAGGTCGAGGTCGAAGTACCGGCGCTCCGAGCAGGACCTCAAATGGTTCCACCTCTCCCAAAGTGGTGTACCTCTTTCCTGCCGAAAAACACACGCCGTTCCTGCTGGCATAAGGGGAAGGCAGCCTGAGGGATTCTCCCTCTCCGGGAGACGAGAGGCAGTTTTTAAGAGGATGCTTGAAGTCTTTTCCCCGGAGTGTAGAGAACTTTGTTATGTGGATTTTAAATTACTCGCTTGCAATGCTACACAAGATTTTAATTTTTTCAGTTTTTCCTCAGTAAACTTGTTGGCATAGCTTGTGGTGCAATCGCTGAAATAATGAGTATATATATTTGAAAAAAACAAATGTTAAAGTGCACTTTACATTATTTTCGTAAGAAAAACATTTACAGTAGAATTACTTTTTGTCTATTATAGCTTTCTCCCTTATTAAAAAAAAAAAGAAAATCAGAACCTGCCTGTGAGATGCTTTGTGAGAAAAAGTTTCACGCAGTTTGTGTGAAAAGACATAAAAATAATGAGTGAGCTTGTCTCATTGGAACAAATGAAAGTCTTTCTTCCTTAGTTAAAGTCTTCAAAGAACTTGAGAAGTAAATGTGCCTTAAGCTGAAGTCTCAAGATCAAAAAGTTTGGACAGGAAACTAGAGAAAGGACAAGATTTTAACAGTCCAGGCTCCAGTTTCAGCCTGGTATACCAAGAAGACAAGGTGAGGATATCCTCTCTCATTCCCCAACAATTTTCAGCCTTCTGCTTTTTTTCAACAGTAGGGCAAAGAGCTCACATCTTCTACCTTCCTCCAAGCTTGAAAAGCAGGCGAAAGGGTGAAAAGTCTATTGGTTTCTCCATTAAAATCTCCATGTCAGAGCTCAGACAAACCACAGCAGATTCCACAAGGAAGAGAGACATCATAATCGCCCCAGCCATGGAAATTGTTTCAGTCCTAACTTGTCCCTTCTGAGATAACCAAAATGTGTTTGGTACACAGCTCAGAGGTGGTCCTGGCTGCTTTAGGTGAGGTGCCCACAGCACCACTTGGTTGTGTATCCCTCGGCCCCCTGGCATCAGTGTTACGCCTCTGAGGAGTGAAACCAAGGGCTTCCTTATGCTGTTACAGCTACACACAGGTGCCTTTGGGTGATACTTCCCTCAGCTGCTGCAGAGGGGAGAGAGTCTGGGAGTGGATTGTTTTCTCTCCCTAATTCCTGCCCTGGGAAAATGCCAGCACAAGGCAGATGGAGACTTGAGGGTGCATGGGTTCACAGAGAGGAATGGGAGGTAGAAGATGTGTTGAGGTAATGCCAAGTGTGGGGGGAGAGAGGAACCCTCTATCATCATCTGCTTAAGCCTGGTTATCAGCAGTCTATTTATGACCCCTTATTCCACGTATGATGTCCCCTGGAAGACATCCCTTCTGGCCCGAGAAAGGTCAGACTGAGTGGAGAAGTTATATGTACATGTGAGGAGGTTGGAAGGGAATGCAAAAAAATATTAATAAGGGAGAAGAAATATCCCAGCTTTCACCCAGAGCTTTCCAAGCTCTGTGGGTCTTTAGTCCAGGGCTTTAGTGTTGTGGATTTAATGGTATCAAGTTATCTTACAAGAGATCTGATGATACACATAGGGTAATACCTTTTCTGGGTAAACTGGTTGAACATGAAATCTATTCTTCCAAGCAAAGACTTCAGTTGCATAGCCACTCCCATTGCTCAAGTGTATTCTAACCTGTGTTTTCAGCCTTGTGAATCTGCTTTTCCCACACCTCTTTTGCTGATCTGTGCATATGTCTGATATTATATATACAATGAGGTTAGGAACAAGGACACAAATGGGCTTGTATGTACATGACCCACATTTTTTCTATCTGCAATCTCTAGCTCAGGTTCAAAACATTCCCACCTGATGTGGAAACAGCTGAGATAGTGGACTGGGCAGTAGAGCGTAGTCTTGCCAGCCCGAGTGCCCAGATAGCAATGAGGTGTGTGATACAGTGCCAAGAACGTTTGGGTTCTCCCCCACCAAAATCAGTGTAAGTACTGTACCTGAGCCACTGAAGATCAAAACAACTTGGAAGCATCCCTCATCTTTTGGCCCACAGAGCAAAGCAAATAATGGGAAGAGGCTCAAGGTGGCATGAGCCTCTTTTTGGGACTCTGGCAAACTCTCACCACTCCTGTATCTTCATTTCTGTTAGCTATATACAAGGACTTGGCCTGAAGACTGACCTGAAGGTACTGAGTGTCCATATAGGAACCTGACATCATTAATTATGTGTTCCCCTCCAGATTTTTATTTTTATTGCCTGTTCCTGCTGGTCAACCAGAGTGCTGAGGACGCCTGCAGACCATTCTCCATCTGCTTCAACTTGCTCCCCAGCTTCGTGTCATGCACAGAGATGTACTAGGCATTCCTGCAGTAGTGATTATGTTATTTTTTTCACAAAACTAGGTCCCGTGATCATTGAAGCTGGCATCTCTAAGGACCATATTGCTATACTTTGCATAACATTCAGGAAGCAAGACGAAGGAGAAACAGATAGATACCCCTGGGTCTTGTCCCACTTTGTAGTTTAAGTGGTAACTGTGGTGTGGTTTTCAACCCAGAAATGGGGAAACACTTCTGTATGTACACATGCAGCCATAGACAAGTGACAGGGTTTTTATGAGCTCTATCAGAAAGGCAGAACCGAACATTATTAAATGAAAAACAGAAGGGGGGTGGGGAGGAAATCCTTGGAAAGGAAAGCCCTGACAAGAGCTCTTTTTTTTCCAGCCAAAGCTCACAAATGCCAAATAGCTCTCCCCTAACATTTGAACCACTGTTGAGAAAGCCATGTCTCCTATTGAGAGTGACAGTTTCTCTTTGTGTTGACCCAGAATTAACATATTTAGTAAATCATGTGGAAACAGATCCTGAACTGTAGGCTGATAATGCAAATGAATAATAATACTTTTTAAGGGAAAGAGTTATTGTAGCTGTGATTTTTTTTTTAAGGTATAGGCAAGACAGGTTTTTTACGTAGGAATCTTGTTAAACTAACAAGTAGTTGGAAAAAGTAATGCCTGAATATTGAGGTTTTTTTCAACAGTACCAGTTGTCTATTAGAAGATATTATCTCTACTAACAAAACTGGCTTTACTTAATATTATTGAAATAGATCAAAGGAAATACTCCTAAAAAAGTTTTCACATCATCTGAATTTAACTTTTAAAGTCTATCATTATAGTATATTATTAAGGAAAAATATAGACATGATCAGAGTCCACAGTAATATTAGATGTGAATTTAGCATTTACTCATTTATTTTTTGAAGGAAGAATAATAAAGCCTGATGCTTCAGCATATATAGCAGCTGATGTCTGAAGTCTGAGGGAAATTGCCGCTCTTGAGGAGATTATTCCACAAAATTAGGGGTTTTTAATCTGCCTTTGAAGTATTTCAGAATTACTAATATGGCAGTCAGGATATTGGATTGAGTGCACTGGTCTGCTGTGGCAATACTCATGGGTCCCCAGCTGGGCATTTTTCTTTACTAACAGCATCTGGAAGAACTCTCATTCACATGCAAAAAGAAATTAATTCCAACTCAGTGAAGTTTTGAATTCAAATCAAGTAGCAAGTTGGGAGTTGACCCTGAAGTGCTCCTCCTAACACCTACATTAATAATTTATGCTAACACCTATATTAATAATGTATGGGGGAGAGGTCTAGCCCTAAGCTAGAATTCATATTAGTACAAGCACTAAAATGTAAGTCTAGTTTTGCTGTGCTGGTAATCCAGTCATATGGTTTAGCTAGAGAATTTCTTACCATGTGGCTGCTCCCACTGGCATAGGCTTTATCTAACTGTTGCAGTACAGGCCAACCAGGATGTGACACAACTTGGATAAAATACTTGGTAACAGAAACCACTCTCTCGGGGTGGAAAAATTCCCTGCTCACTCAGAACAATGCTTTACTGTCATATACATGTATATGAAACTTTCATTGAACCCTTTCTACCCCCAGTTCAGTATCTTTAGGAATAAGTTAGTATGCCAGAATTTATAACTTTATTTTGGCTTAGTCCAGTAGATATGAACTGTCCTAGCTGATGGCATCTTTCACAAAAGCTTTTAAACTGAAAACCTGACATGTACATTAAGACTTCTGATACCAGATCAGCTGAATCACCAGGCAAAATATCTTCAATGGAATCCTAGCAGTTTCCAGTGCTGAATGCGTTAGGTGGAGAGAAAACAAAGCACTTTGGTCACTTGCCAATTTTAAATCAAAGGACAGGCATCTACTTGCTTTGTAGATATGTAAGTGTTCAGAAAGGTCACTGTCATGCTGACAATGAACACTAAGTGGCTGGGCCAGATATCTGTTAGTTTCAGAACAGAAGCACGAACTGTCTAGCCCCTGTTTTCTGAGGGCAAGACCTGTATATATATATTGTTGAAAGGGGTACAAGAAAGTACAAGACACACATGGACTTACCGGAGTGACTCCAGTGAAGAGCTATGAAGATCACAGAATCATGAATGGTTTGTGTTGGAAGGGATCCCACTCACTAGATCAGATCACTCAGGGCCCTATCCAACCTGGGCTCGAACACTTCCAGGAATGGGGCACTCACAACTGCTCAGGGCAGTCTATGTCTCCCTACTCTCAGAGTGGAGAATTTCTTCCTAATATCTAATCAAAACCTACCCTTTTTCAGTTTA